CGCCTACAAATCAGAGCAGAAAATTTCGGACCGAATGTTTGAAATTCTCCGCCAGCAGTTAAAGATTCAAGAAAATGAGTTCGATCCAAAAGTAGACATTGGAAGTCTCATCGGAAATCTTCTGAAAGAGAGGATTGCTGCTGCGAATGAGGTTGGTGCGGAGGAGAGAGCATCCATCCTATCAGACGACTACATAATAAACACCGTGGGAGATATGTTTAGTGCTGGTTATGAGACTACTAGTACGACCTTACGTTGGGCCATTGCCTACTTTGTCCACCATCCTGAATGCCAGAGGGATGTGCAGAGTCAGCTGGATGACGTTGTCGGAAGAGATCGCATGCCAGACCTGGATGATCGTCCAAATCTTCCTCTTGTTTTGGCCACAATTATGGAAACATTGCGCCTCGGAAATGTTGCTGAGACAGTTCTTCCACATTACACTCTGAGCGATACTACATTGGCCGGTTATCGCGTTCCGAAGGATACTGTTGTGATGACCAACCTAATGGCCGTCCATCTTGATCCAAGCCTTTGGGAGAACCCAAACTCATTTGACCCTAGTCGCCATATTGACTCTGATGGCCAACTTATCACTAACTCTGGCAATTTTCTGCCCTTCTCAGCTGGACGCCGGGTTTGTGCTGGCGAGGCCTTGGCAAAGGTGAGACTTATTTCTCTTGTCTTTTATGATTACCTGAATAAGTTGTTCTTAATTTTAGTTCCCTTAAAGTATTTGCACAAAGAAAATTTGTCCAAAAACGATGTTTGTTGAAGTGTTTATTAATAGAATCTTGTAAAGACTGCTTCACGAGACACATTATTATTATTATTAGCAGTAGTAGTATCATTGAATTATTTCTTCAAATACATATACAAAATTTTTGTGCATTTTTGTTTCTTTCTTTCAAGGTGGAGCTGTTCTTGTTCTTGTCCAGGATGCTTCATAGATTCACATTTCTGCCATCGGAGGATGGCAATCTCCCGGATCTGAAAGGAAAATATGGTCTGACTCGCTTTCCAGCCGCTTACAAAATTAGGGTTGTAAAACGCCGGTAACAGGATTTTAAGGATAAACTATTGGTGTGAAGCATATACGCTTTTGAATAGCCTTTGGCTAAACATATAAACAATAGAAAATAAACAATGGCATTAGAAGCTATGATTTTTTTCCTCGATCTTGGTATCTCCATCTTTCGTGAAAATAAGAATTATTTTCATTTAACTTGGTAATTTCATCCCAGTAGTGGTTTATCTTGTTAGCGGTAATTGATAGAGTGCTTGCTTTGAAAATTTTAGATAAAAATAGCCTTAAATGAGGTTTGAATACAGAACCTGTTTCCTTACGTAGTAAATTTAGGATACAGTTATAATTAAAATAACGTAGAGGTCTATTTTTTTTGCGAGTGACATATCGTTATTTATTTTTTCGTTGTTGTAAGACTGGCATGTACTTTCTGAAAGGGAAAACATTAATAACACTACTTAGGACAGGTTTTGATCGCTTGACCCATAATCCCTTTTCAGGTAGTGAATTGCAACATTAACGCTTAAAAGATTCCATCATCGCCGAGTTTTGCGCTCGTATTTGACTAGTAGTCTCTTGGACGGTCTAAACACTCTCCGTCTTCTCCTCCTGCTGTTTCTTTCACTCCAGCTTGGCCCAATGAATCGATCAATTGACCACCTTACAATATTGTAACAAACACATTACTATTGAAATACTTTGACATTTGGCTTTAAGAGGGGCTTAAGATGGTCGCGCAAAATATTTGCACATTGCCCTAACCTAAGGTAACTGACCTGGGCTCACCTTCGGATCAGACTTACTTAACACTCCGTGGTTGCTCGATCCTTAAACGCTTCCAATTTACCTGCTGGTATCAGCACGGTAAATTACGAATACAGGATCAACACGTCATATTTCAGACGTTGATTTGATTTGCTCCTATAATTGTCACGAAATTTGTCACTCAGATGGTCTTGCAAGATCTCTGCGTCTGACAGTTAACGTGTCTACTACAACTTTAGTGTTCCCGCTCTCGAGCTTTGATCATACCTGGACCTCGTACAGGAAAAGGTCTGTTCAAATAAGAAAAAAAAAATAACAAACAAATAGAATCCCTTGGCATCCCGGCTATAGAAACTTCTAAACAAAGCAACAAAGGTTGCTTTAAATGAATTATGTACATACATCAGGTCCGCTATAGGAGCAGCTGAATATTGTGCGTCGCCGACTCTTATTAGAATTGATGCTAGGTATCAAAATTAGTATTTTTGGTAAAAAACGCCGTGTTAGCCGCTTAAGGTTAAAAACGCCGTATTAGCCGCTTAAGGCTCTCGTTTTTCAGAGTGCAAAAGTGTTCAATATCAACGAGGTGGTCTCACATCATTGAAACGCAGCCAGGAGTTCTTCCTGTTAGAATTTTTGACGTTCAAGAATATCTGTGTCGTTGTTGCTTTCTTGTTGATTTTCAATCAACTGATTGAACTCTATCAGTTCAGAAATATGCCACCAGGACCTCGTTTGTCAAGTTTGCCGTTGATCGGAAATTTTATGAGCTTTGATTAAGGAGAAAGCATTTATCATTGTTAACTACTCCAGCTGATTTTTCCAATCATTTTCAGCTCTGTTCGCTAACAGCTCTTTGAATTAAAATTTCAACCATTTCTATGTCTTCTTTATTGTTTTTTAGCTACATATTCGCTTGTTTCACTTTCTTGATACTTCTTTTCCTCACCGTATTGTTAGGTCTTTGAAATTGTTACGGATTCTTTTGCAAACAGTAGGACAGACAAAATGGGTCCTTTACAAGAGAGTTGAATAAAATTTGTCGACTGAATCAGAAAACACTGAACAAAGGATTAAATATTTCATGCATATAAGTACTTATTGAATTGTTTGGCTTCGTCATGAAGCTACGCAAAGAAATCAACTAACGCAGGCATTAGGCAAATTTCGGCTCTTCACAGATTCTGGTAATTATTTTTTTTAAGGTGAAAGTTTCCTATTCTACACTGTGTACAAAAATTTGTATTCTGGCGAGCAATTTTATCACATATTTTCTTTCTTCATTTTTTAAACGTGACAGTCTCAAAGGTGACCTCAAAAGTGTCTATTTATTATACATCTGGTATACAAGTCGGGTACCACAAGTAACGCTTTATTTCACGTCTTTTAAAGCTAATTTTTTTACATACCTCAGAATGCTCTGCTAACCAAACGCTGTTCAATGATTTCTATGAAGTTCCATGAATGAGTTATGATTTTTTCTAAAATGAAACTAACACATAGCAAAAGTTCCGCAAACATTCGCAATTTTGATCGTAACTCAAAATAACAGCTGCTGGACGTGTGTTGTGATGAACGGACTACCATAATCACTAGGCGCGAGTTCAGTCTCACCTCATTTTCATCTTACAAAAACCTGATTTAAATCTGCTCTTTTGAAATCGCCTTTCGAGATTATGCACACTCATTTACGATTACGAAGTCAGTTCTGGTGCTCCATGCCTTAATCGAACGATGACGTCAGTCCCAAGTAAAACAGAAAATAATGTATGTTTATTATTCAGTTCCGGCATTGAAACAATTCAGTCGACCATATTATGCGTGGGCTGTCTCCGTGATGACTTAATACGTCGTTTTTATTTCTCAAGCGCTATTGGTTGGGAGAATGGCATGAGAGTCGTTTGACAATCTCGTGATTTAGAGAACAAACGTTTTTAAGAT